GTCTGAGCAGGGCCTGTATTCAGGGTCAGTTTCCTTCCTTTTCCACCTTCCCTCAGTCTGCAGCTGGGTGGATAATTGGGCCAGGGCACCTAATGTAGTCCTTGCCCTACTATCAGCTCCCTGTGCTGTGCCCCTAAGGCACTCTGTAGCCCTCTCTGGACCACAGTTGTCTAATCTGTAAAACCCAGGGCTTGGGTTTGGTTATCTCAAAGTCCCCTTACGCTTAGGGCCTTCTACTCCCTATCTATTATTTTGTGTGTGTGTGTCAGTTCCCCGACCAGGGATTGAACCCGTGCCCCCTCCAGTGGAAGTGGGGAGTCTTAACCACTGGACCACCAGAGAAGCGCTTAGGACTTTCTAGCTGAACATCCACGTCTAGCAGTGAGCGCTGAGCCCTGGCATGCAGTTTCTGGCTCTTTGTGCGTAGGCATCTCTAGAAGAGTCACATCATTGAGATCTGGTTTGGTTCAGAGCTCTTCTCAGTACAAAGCCATGTTCAGAGGTCTAGGTCATCCCAGTGGACTTCAAACATGCTTCTAGGGCAGAGTTTCCTCTCAGGCAACTTTAGGCAGCCTCTGAGAGTCAAGGCTGGCAGCTAGCCTCTGCTAGGCGTTGTTAGGCTTCCTGGGACCTGAGAGCCCATGGAGGTTTTTCAGCTTGGCTGAGATCCACAGACGGGAGAGAGTAATGTGGCGGCGAGATCAAGGCAACAACAAGAGAATGTGGGAGTGGGACCAGGAATTTCCCGAGCTTCTTGGAAACATTCCTCATAGAGGCGGAGAGCTGGCCCTGCTTCAGGCCAACATGTTTGGCAGCTTCTCTTCGCCACCTCCCTCAAGCTCCCCCTTCCACTCCCATAAATACTGCCAGACAATTATTTAAGGGAAAGGCTCTGGGATAAGGAGAGCTTGGGCTGTTGTAACATAGAGACAAAATCTGTTTGCATGGGACCATGAGTGTGTGTGCACACGCCTAATATGAATGTGATCATGTTTGTAGATCTGTGGAATTAAGGAACATCAGGGCAGGGAAGGTCTTTTGTAACCTGGCTCTAAAACTTTCACCTTAAAAACAAAGAGGGACTTCCCTGGTGGTCCAGTGGGTAAGACTCTATGCTTCCAATGCAGGGGGCCGGGGTTTGATCCCTGGTCAGGGAACTAGATCCCACATGCCGCAACTAAAAGCCTGCATGCTGCAACTAAGACCCGGTGGAGCCAAAATAAATAATAAAATAAATAAATATTAAAAAAAAAGAGAAACTGAGGCACGAAGCCAAGTATGGAATGATGAAAACCAGGTCTGCTGACTCCCAAAGTGTGTGCTTTTATGCCTTGCTTCCACATTTTCCTTCTTTTTCTGTTTTTATTTTTTTCTTTTTTAAAAAATATCATATGGGAAAATTGATCTTTTTGGTATACAATTCTATGAATTTTTAACTTGTATAAATGAATTGCACACTACCAGGACACAGAACAGTTCCATCACCCCCCAAATCCCCTTGTGCTATCTCTTTATAGTCATACACTCCCCTCACCCCAACACCTGCCAACCACTGATCTATTCTCTGTCACTATAGTTTTGTCTTTTCAAAATATCATACAAATAGGATTGCACAGTATGTAACCTTCCAAGACTGGCTTCTTTTACTCACTATAATGTCTATGAAATTTATCCAAGTTGTGTGGATCAGTGGTTCGTTCCTTTTTATTGTTGAGTAGCGTTTTATTGCGTGGATGTTCCATGGCTTATTTATCCATTCACCTCTTGAAGGACGTTTGCATTGTTTCCATTCCGGCTGATTATGAAGATAGCTGCTTTAAATATCTGTGTACATATTTTTGTGTGAATTGGTGGAAGAATAGACACATAGATCAACGGAGCTGCATAGAGAGCCCAGAGCATACCCACACAGATACTGTCAAATGATTTTTGACAAAAGTGCAAAGCAATTCTAGGAAGAAAGGATAATCTTTTCAACAAATTGTGATTGAACATCCACGTGCAAAAACAAACAAAAACAAAAGCCCCCTAACTTCAAAACCCTAAACCTTCCTCCCTCTGCCCTCTCTTTTCCACAGAGGAAGCTCTGTATTGGTGGAGAGACCTATGATATGCTTCTAAGTCCTGGAACCACCAACAGGATCTGTTCTCAGTCAGACCCTGGGTAGGTGGGAGCCTTGAGGTTGGGACAGAACAGGCAATGAAGAAGGCACAGGAGTATAGAAGTAAGACAGAGGGATTATAAATACGGTGTCAGGAAGTAAGTATGGATGAGACTTAGAGGTAGAAAGGGATGAGAAAACAAGATCAGAAGGGTTGGCATAGATGGTTCTGTTGACTACCTGGAAGGTTATAACTACTCAGGTCACTTAGGAGTAGGAGGAAAATCTGTTTTTCTTTTTGGTTTTTTTCTCACAGGAAATGTAGCTCTGCATTCCCAGCATTCCACCTTCTTCTCTTGGGCTTTTGGGAATGGTGTGGGCCCCCTCTATGGCAAGCCTCGCTATTTCACTTTCGCTATGCCCAGTACTTACTGCTTTTACAGCCTCCACGAACTCTCGCAATTCCTTCAGTCAACCAGGACAATGGGAGATATAAAAAAACATCAGTTCTTTCCTCAGTACCTTTCTTTACAAGCTGCTGTCTGTGAAATCCCCACAACCACTGGTAGGCACCAAATAACCATTGTCATAAGAGCAGGGAACAGCTCTTATCCTTATTGTATCCTCTCCTCGGAAAAGTTGCCAAACTACAATTAAAGACCTAAATGTAGGGATGCCTCCCACCATCGCTTAGGGCCTTGGGGCTCTTATGAAACTTCTCTTTATAATCACTGTTATAAGCTGAATTGTGTTCTCCCAAAATTTATATGTTCAATCTTTAACTTCTCAGAAATGTAAGATGTAAGTCAGAATGTATTTGAAGCTAAGGCCTTTAAAGAAGTGATTAAGTTAAAATGAGGCCTTAGGTGGGCCCTAATCCAGTCTGACTGGTGTCCTTATAAGAAGAGGAAATTTGAACACAGAGAGACGCCAGGGGTGCCAGCACTGTCCCAGGGGGAAAGACAGGAAGTTGGGAGCTGGCTAGAAAGGGGGCTATTTGAGGATGTCTTTTTTAGAGAACTAAAAATACTTTCCTTGAAGCTTGTAATCATCCAAAGGGGAGATGGAACTACTTGTATGAGGTACCAGGAATTTCATTAAGCCCCTTTTATATGTATGTTTAAATCTATATTAGGTCATTCAGGTCTTGAAACCACCCTGAGAACTAACCCTAATCACACTTCGTTAAACATTCCGGTTTTCTTGGTTGTTTTTCCCACTCAGCTGAAAGCTACTAGTGATCCGGTCTTTTTCATTTTTCTGTGGCTGGTGATGTGCAGGGTGCCCGACAAAGTAGAGTTTGGTAGGTTCTGTAAATGAAAGTGAGTAGGTAAAATATCTTCTTAGTAAATGAGGCAACTGATTATCTGCAAAGATAGGTAATTTGCACAAGTAGTAAATGACCGTGCTGAATTTTTAAAAAAATTTATTTATTTATTGGCTGTCTTGGGTCTTCGTTGCGGTGCAGGCATTTCTGACCGCGGTGGCCTCTCCCGCCGCGGAGCACGGGCTCCAGGCACGTGGGCTCAGCAGTTGTGGCTCGTGGGCTCTAGAGCGCAGGCTCAGCAGCCGTGGTGCACGGGCCCAGCTGCTCCGCGGCACGTGGGATCCTCCCGGACCAGGGCCCGAACCCGCGTCCCCCGCATTGGCAGGCGGACTCCCAACCACTGCACCACCAAGGAAGCCCCTGAAAATATTTTTAAACGTTTCATTTTGAAATAATTTCAGATATACAGAACAGTTTCAAAAATGATACAAAGAATTCCTGTATATCATTTGTCTATATTCTCTAAACATTAACATTTTTCCTATTTGCTTTATTAGTCACGTATTTATGTACAGATACATAAATTTTTTTCTGAATGTGTGAGAGTAAGTTATGGACATGTTGCCCTTTTTCCTAAATACTTCACTATGCATTTCCTAAAAACAAGAACATTCTTTTTACAAGGGTTTAAAATAAGTATACTTATCAAAATCAGGAAATTTGCATTGAAACTATACAGTTATCTAATCCACAGACTGTATTCAACTTTCATCAACTGCCTCACTCTAGAGCCCGAGAGCCACAACTACTGAGCTCTTGTGCCACAACTACTGAAGCCCGTGTGCCCTAGAGCCCATGCTCTGCAACAAGAGAAGCCACCGCAATAAGAAGCCCATGCACCGCAACGAAGAGCAGTAGGAGCTCGCCCCAACTAGAGAAAGCTCACATGCAGCAACAAAGACCCAACGCAGCCATAAATAAATAAATAAATAAATAAATAAATAAAAGATTAAAAAAAAATAAAAAGAAACCCACTAGTGTCTGGGACTTCCCTGGTGATGCAGTGGTTAAGAATCTGCCTGCCAATGCAGGGGAACCGTGTTCAAGCCCTGGTCTGGTAAGATCCCACATGCCACAGAGTAACTAAGCCCACAAGCCACAAGTACTGAGTCCACGTGCCACAAGTACTGAGTCCGCGTGCCACAACTACTGAAGCCCGCACACCTAGAAGCCGTGCTCTGCAACAAAAGAAGCCACCACAATGAGAAACCCACCCACTGCTGCGAAGAGTAGCCCCCGCTCGCCACAAGAGAAAGCCTGCGCGCAGGAACGAAGACCCAACACAGCCATAAATAAATAAATAAAATAAAATAAAAAGAAACCCACTAGTGTCAGGCATTGTACTAGGAACCAAGGATCTAAAGATGCAAGTAGCAACTTGTTTTTTGCCTACATGACAATGTTGTGCTATTTCATACTCATCAGGTTGCCAAAAATGCAGGAGCATGATACTCTCATGTTTTGCCAGAGACAGGACATTGAGATGCAAAAACTCACATACCATAGTTTCTGGCAATATTATACAATCAATGCTTCAGTTAGTCTATCTGTGTAACAAATTACCCCCAAACTTGGTGGCACAAAACAATAATTTATTATGCTCCCAGTGGGTCAGGAGTTCAGATAGGACACAGTGGGGACAGCTTGTTTCTGTTCCAATGTCTGAGGCTGCAGCTGGAAGACTCAGAGGCTGGGAGCTGGAATCATCTGAAGGCTCATTCACCCACATGTTGAATGGTTGATGTTGGCTGATACCTTAGCTGGGCCTGTTGGCTGGAATATCTATACAAGGCCTCTCCACGTGGCACCATCTTCCTCACAGCATGATGATTGGGTCCAAGTGTGGGTGTCCTACAACAGAGAGGGAAAGCCAGGCAGAAGCTGTATCACCTTTTATGACCTGGCTTTGGAAGTCATACAGTGTGACTTTCATCCCATTCTATTCATTAGAAGGGAGTTTCTAAGACTAACCCATACTCAAGGAAAGGGAACATAGACCCTTCTGATAGAGAAGAGTCAATATCATACTATAAGAAGAGCATGTAGAATGGGCTATGTTGATATGGACATCTCTGAAAAATAAGATCTGCTACAATCAATTTGTGAACGAAGAAGAACAAAGAACATCACTCATTACCCAGTTATACAAGGATTAAGTCGCAACCCACTGCAGTCGACCACTGACAGGGCACGCTGCAGGGAACTGAGAATGAAAAACAGGATGAGGTACTCTGTGCTTTGGAAAAACAGGTTCCTAGATAGTTAGACGTGTATCTCAAGAATAATTTCAAAGACCCCTGATTCTTGCACCTTCCCAAACCTAAAAAGTTCTAGTCCTCAGTAAGACCATGAATACAACTTAAACTCGCAATTCTTATGCTGAGTGTCTTTCTTTAAGTTGACAAGTTTCTTTGTACAGAGAAATGTACAAAGATATCATTGCAATGCTGCTTGTTAGGGTGGAAATTTGGGAACATCCCAAATATTCAACAATAGACGACTGGTAAATAAATGATGGTTTATTAATACAAAGGAACAAATAATACACCAGTAAAAATAAAAGAACAACAAAGATACATTTTAACATCGATGAGTCTTAAAAACATTGTTGAGTGAACAAAAAAAGCAAGTTGCAGAATGATTTGTACTATATGATAGTATTTATATAAATTTCTTTTTAAATTGCACATGGAAACCCTATGTTTTGTTTGTGAAGATATTATACATGAAATATAAGTATAAAAATAGGACTGGAAACACTTTAAATTTATAATTTCATCTGAGAAAATTTAAGAGGAATGGGAATGGAGAGAGAGGGGAATAAAATGGACGCCAATGTTTTTATGTATATATATATATATTTTAGATAGTAAGTAAATGAAAAACAATATTTATTTATTTTGAGTGCTATATACTGGTTTGTATTTATCTATGTTGTTTAATTTTTTAAAAAATATTTATTTATTTGGTTGCACCAGGTCTTAGTTGTAGTAGGCAGACTCCTTAGTTGTGGTTCCACGGCTCCTTAGTTGCAGCACATGGGCTCCTTAGTTGTGGCATGCAAACTCTTAGTTGCAGCATGCACATGGGATCTAGTTCCCCGACCAGGGATCAAACCCGGGCCGCCTGCATTGGGGGAGCAAAGTCCTAGCCACTGTGCCACCAGGGAAGTCTCTACATTGTTTAATTTTTGAAAAATAATTCATCACGTTAAAAATGAAATTAGCCCATGAGAGAGGGCAAGGGAAGGACTTTATAAAATCCATCAAGGCACTTCCCTGGCAGTCCAGTGGTTAAGACTGTGTTTCCAATGCAGGGGGTAAGTGTTTGATCAGGGAACTAAGATCCCACATGCTGTGTGGTACGGTCAAAATAAGTAAATAAATAAAATAAAATCCACCAAGAAGTGTGAAGAGTGACTTCCCTCGTGGTGCAGTGGTTAAGAATCCGTCTGCCAACGCAGGGACATGGGTTCGAGCCCTGGTCCGGGAACATCCCACATACTGCAGAGCAGCAAAGCCAGTGTGCCACAACTACTGAGCCTGGGCTCTATAGCCTGTGAGCCACAACTACTGAAGCCCACTCACCTAGAGCCTATTCTCCGCAACAAGAGAAGCCACTGAAATGAGAAGCCAGCACACTGCAACGAAGAGTAGCCCCCGATCACTGCAACTAAAAAAAAAAAAAAAAGTATGAAGAGCTCCAGAAGAATTCCCCTCCTCATGAGCGTATGCTTCCCCCTCCCTGTGAGGCTGTTTGGCCTTGCTTTTGCCACCCCATATGTGGGTTTTCCTCTGTAGGCTTGCCCCATACGTGGATATCACGTTTTCTGTTTCTATTAGCCCTGTCTAGATAGTATGGCATCTTCAAAAAAACCCAAAAAAGCCAAACAGAAAAACACAACCGGAAAAGAAAGATAAGAACTATAAAAGAGAGAAAAAGGAAAAAAAAAAAAGAAAAACACAAACCGTTATAAATTAAAAAGGTGACTTAAAGAATATTCACAGTATTGAATCTATCAATGAAACAGTTTTCGATTGTATACTTTTTTACCCCAATGGAACTAGTTAAAGTATCCATCTAAGGCAGTAAGTAAAGCAGTAAGAGGGGCATAATATTTTACTGGCTCCACATCCTCTAGTCAATATAAATTTTTTAAAAAGTACAGTGTCGGGCTTCCCTGGTGGCGCAGTGGCTGAGAGTCCGCCTGCCGATGCAGGGGACACGGGTTCGTGCCCCGGTCCGGGAAGATCCCACATGCCGCAGAGTGGCTGGGCCCGTGAGCCATGGCCGCTGAGCCTGCGCGTCCGGAGCCTGTGCTCCGCAGCGGGAGAGGCCACAGCAGTGAGAGGCCCGCATACAGCAGAAAAAAAAAAAAAGTACAGTGTCCTCTGACCTGATACTCAAATTCTATTTCCACACCCTGTGAGTAAGAGATATGTATTGAATTGTCTACTTAGCTCATTTTCCCTGGGAACTTTGGCATCTCTAAGCCAGAGCTAATCCTCCTGGCACCAGGCTTGGCCCCAGGATGCCATTATAAACATGGACCCTGAAGCTCCTCAGGGCTTCCTGTGTCTTTTGAGTCTCATATCTTTGTAGCGCTCCCATATGTACATATGTAACTAAAATTGTTTTTTTCCTGTTGATCTATCTTTTTATTACAGGGGGTGTCTCAGCCAAAAACCTAGAAGGGTTTATGAAAAATTATTGTTCCTCCCCTACACATAGGACCTAAATTCTTAATCCCAATCCTTCGATCTCCAAATCAGATACCTCTTCCAAAGCCCCAATGTTTCTGTGATATTTCACTATTTGAGTAGGGCAAGAATGTTTTTAGTGTCCCAGTGCTTTTTTTTTTACCCCCCTTGATCTATGCTTTCTCTTTGTCCATTCCAATAGACTACAGGAGAATTGACTCGAAGGCTACAGTGGATTATTTTCCCTACTACTATTTATATTTAAAACATTATCTGATTAATTATAGAGGCAAATAGTTAAGATCTAGGATGCCTCAGTCACCAGCGTTAGAATCTGTGAAAATACCATCAACATTGAGTATCAGTGCCACCTCCAAACAACCATAGGCAATGGTTTCAAGGGAAATATGTAAAGCCATGAGCAGAGTTTGAAGGGATGGAGAACTTTCTTGCTCCAAAGTCCCAGAGACACAGGGGTGAGGGAGTGGCAGAGGCCCCAGGTTGCCAAATAACTTCAAAGGTTGCCTAGGGCCAAAATCGTTCTCCTTGGAATGCTGGTAAATGCAGGCCTAGATAGCTCCAGGCTGGCAATGATGTGAAAGGGATCACGCTTCCAAACACACTTATACACACACTCATTAGAATGCAGCAGAACATGGTTTTATTTCTGTGAACACAATACAACAAAAGTTGGCCGAAGTTCTAAGGCTGAAAATATGGAGGCCTGGACCCTTCTTTGCCCTCTTCCCTACTATCTTCCTTCAAAACCTAGAGCTCCAAAGCAGAAAAGAATCCTACATATTTTTTGTCCCAACTCTGGTCTATCCTCATCACTCTAATTTTTCCAATACCCTCCTTTTTCCTTCTATGGGAACCAGGAAAATCAACGAAAGAAAAGAAAAATCAGAAGAGATCGTAAGAGAATTTGTGCCAAGCGAGACGGAAAATGATGGAAACTTTAAACAATCTTGTCTAAGTGTACAGGAACCAAATGATAAGGAGGGTCGCTCTTCTGAGGGGGGTCACAGGCAACAATGAAGAGCTTGTATTGGGTGTCATCTCGGTAGCGGCAGTCAGGATACTTCCCCGCAGTGAGACTGCACTGAGTCAGGTTAACAGGCTTTGGACTCTGGTGGCAGTTGTGCAGCCCATTCTTACAGACGATGTGGGGCAAATCACAGACAGCAGCCACGTCCTGGAAGGAGTTGTGCAGAAAGGTGTTTTGAGGCTTGCAGTGCTGAGTATAATTATTGACACTGCTCATTGCCTTGTTGCACTGGAGAAGCCTTGGCTGTATATGCTGAATTTCAAACCAGTGAGCCTTGGTGAGATGCTTAGGCAAAGCACAAAGTGGACACACTGACCACCATAGTCCCAGCAGCAATAGGAGGAGAGGAAAGCATCCCAGAAGACCTGGCCCCATCTTTTCTGTGTAAGGAGAGAGAAAATAATGGTAGTAGTAAAAACAATAAGAGCAAAATTATCACTCATAACCATTTAGATTTTTATTCTGCCTTTTAAGATTTCATAGCTCTTTTTTGTTTGTTTGTTTTTAACCATCTTCTTTCTCACTTGAGTCTCACGATTCTAAAGAAACTAAAGCCCAGTGAGGAGGAATTTGAGGTAAGACGATCTTTTCTCTGACTGGTAGATCTCGTTCTTCTCTTTGTCCTGCACTCATGCGTTTGATAGTCCCCATGTCAGAAACCTTGTCTCTTCCCTGCTGAAATATTTACCCTCCATCTATTTGACCTGGATCTCCCAGCCATCTTCACTGGCCACTCTCCCCAGCCCTGGGGGCTTCTGCTCTTACCAGGTCTCCGCGCTGGGGCTCCCGCTGAGGACGGCAGCAGTAGTTAGTCCCAGGCTCAGAGGCTTTCGTCTGTTGTTCTTCTCCCAGGTGTGCAAGGCCGCCTGCGTGTGGCAGGGGAAGGGTCCTGAGCCCTAGGAAAGAGAAAACTAGGGCTTGGAAGATGAACTTCTTGTTGACAGTGTGGATGAGACTCTTAGACTTTCAAACTTGCTGTTTAACGAGTGTCAATAACACTGTAAATGCAGGGAGAGTAAGCTTACTTAAAGAAACAGTGAGACTCAAAACACAGTTTTGAGGAACTGATCACTTCCTGATATGAGTTGGTGCTTCCTCCCTGACTTGAAGCTTCAGTTTTTTGAAGTTTTATGGTTTCATTTCCTTAGGAGAAAATACACATGAAAATCTGATATAATAACTGCCATGTACTTGGTATGTGAGCTTCAACCATAGACTTGAATGAATTATTCCTTTATGTGTATGTTTATTGGGCCAGATACTGGGCTACTCTGATTCGGGAGCTTGTGATCTAATGAAAGAGACAGTCAGGTAAATGGACCAATGCACAATATATTAACAAATATAAATAGCACTTACAGCTGTGATCAAGGAAACTACAGGTAACTGTGTGGATACAGTAGAGAGGAGGTATTTTTGGAGGACACAACACCGGCACTGAGTTTTGAAGATTAATTAGAAATTAGGTGAAGAAGATGGTAAAGGCAGCCCAAAGAGGAAACTGTGTGAAGAGACCCATACATATGAAGGAGAAGGGCACATTTAGGGTATTTGCCTCTTAAATCTGTTCTTGCCTTTCCATTGGTGCTGCAATATCCTTATTCAGAAGCTGATTGTCTCATAGAGGACTCACATAAAAGTTTCCTACGTGGACTCCCTGCCTCTAGTCTCTTTTCCTTCCAATCCATTCTACATATTAATACTTCCAGATTAGTATTTCTTGAGCATAAATATAACAGTGAAACACTCTTGCCCAGTACTTTTAATGGCTCCAATAATCTTTAGGATAAAAATTATTTCTGTTTATAGCAAAGTTGCAAGATACAAGGTTAATATACGAAAATTGCTTCCTTATATACCAGCAATGAACAACTGGAATTTGAAATAAAAAAAAACAAACTAACATTTATATTAGCACCAAATAAAAATGAAATACTTAGGTATAAATCTAATAAAATATGTACAAGGTCAATATGAGGAAAACTATAAAATTCTGATGAAATAAATCAAAAGAAGATCTAAATAAATGGAGAGATATTCCATGTTCATGCTGAAGGAAATCAGAATATGTAACCCCCCAAAATGGCTCTTTGACATAAAAATTATTTTGCACTGAAGGCAATTAAGAATCATGAAGTGCAGAAAAAGCTCCCCCCTTTTTGTCCAAAGCCAGGAAATAAATTCTCTTTTTACTGGAGATAGACCCTCAACCTCCCAGAGAGGGCACCAGAGGAATCTGCAAAAGAATCTTGAAACTAACACTTATCTTTCTAGTTACTTCTTCACCATTTACTAACCATAGGCCAAACCCCTTTGTCTTGTCAATTCTTTACGAATATCTTGTTTCTTGGGCTAAAAGGTATAAAAGCTTCCTGCTCTTTTCACTTATTTGGATTTTTCATTCTCTTGTGAATGCTCCCATGTATATGTAAATATTTAATAAAATTTGTATGCTTTTCTCCTATTGATCTGTCTTTGTCAGTTGAATTTTCAGACCCAGCCAGAGACCCTAAGAGTGTTGAGGAAAGCTTTCTTCCCATACAATGACATTATGCACTTGTGAAAACGTGTACAACATGAAGAATGAATCCTAGTGTAAATTGTGGACTTTATTAATACTGGTTCATCAAATATAACAAAAGTACCACAGTAAAATAAGATGTTAATAATAAGAAAATTGCGAACAGTGTGGTTAGGAGAGGAGGGAGGGAAGAGAGGCATATGGGAACGCTTTGTACTTTCTACTCAATTTTTCTGTAAATCTAAAATTGCTCTGAACAAATAAGTCCATCACTTAAAGAAAAAATTTTAAGATGTCTGTTCACAACATTGTAAAGCAACAGTACTCCAATAAAAATTAATAAAAAAGGAGTAAAAAAATAAGTCTGTTTGCCTAGTGCTCATATATCTTATTCTACATCCTATGTATTAGAACAGTCCTCCTTCTCTCTGCAGTTCCACAACTTGATTGTACACCAAACCCACTACAGAGGAAAACAATACCGAGTTACCCATGTCCTAAAGTAGGGGTCTCCTAACCCTGGCCTCACATCAGAATTGTCTATGAAAAGTTTTTAAATGCCAAGATCCTAGGCCTACTGAATCAGAATCTTGGGGACGGACATCTTTGCATATCTATATTTGATTAACTCCACAGTGATTCTGTTACCCATTCTTTGTAGAGAACCATTTTTCTTGACTGACATTGATTTTCACCCAATGTCCAAGTTCTTAAGACTGGTCTTATGCTTGATTCTGAGATAAAGTCCTCCTGAGTGCTACTTCCTCCTCAAGGGATATACATAACAACATATCTTTGAATTCTTCTACAGGAACTAAGGCTCCCACCCAGGTGGAGGATGGTAACTTCAAGCTGAGCACAAGTTCTGGAGCACCACCCTGTTGCCTCACCACGAACCAATCAGAAGAAAGTCCCACACCCTGCAGCCCTCACCCCAAATTTTGCCTTTAAAAATTCCTCCCTGAAAACCATCAGAGATTTCAGGTCTTTTGAGCATGAGCCACCCCTTTCTCCTTGCTTGGCCCTGCAATAAACCTTTCTCTGCTCCAAACTTTGATGTTTCAGGTTGTTTGACATCACAGTGTATCAGGCACAACAACTTGGGTTTGACAACATGCTGGGCTAAAGAAAGTGAGTATTTCCTCAACGATCATCTGACATGTGGGGAAATACTGATTGTTTTTCTCACTTGATAAATGCTGAGGAACTATTACCCAAAAACTGAGTTTGTCTCTTGGTGGATGTCGAGCCAAAAGATACAACCAAGCCAAAGAGCAGGAGAAGGAAGGATTTATGATTACTTGCAGCAGGTAAGGAGAACCCTGGGAATCTTTCCCAAAACAGTCTCCCTGGAACAGCAAAACTGGGGAAATTTTAAGCTAAGGGTATATGCATATTCATGAAGGGGCTTGAGCAGAGGAGAATTCAGCATAGAACTGGGGAAAGGTTGACAGAGTCCAAGCTTTAGCTGACTGAAGTCAGGAACGTCAACAGCATCATTCTGTCCTCCACCTGGGTGGGGGCCTTAGTTCCTACAGAACGCAAAGACTTTATCAGATTGTAATGTATGTCCCTTGAGGAGGAACTAAGATTCTGTTTTATTGCTGAACTATTGTTTCGTGACTGCTTTCCTTTGTTCCTGCATTCCCTTACTTCCCTTAAGATCCTGTGGCCAGGCTTAGACCGCAAAATGGCTTAGGCTAAAATGGCTTCTCTTATGTCAAGAAAACCCTTCCTGGTTCTCTTTCTCCAGGGACCCCCTACCCTATCTGCTTACAGAACTGCTGTTTAACACTAATCTCTTGTGAGTTTGGTTGGTATAGGTCATCATCTCCCAGGTATTTGCTCATTCCCAAGTACACTGAAAAAATGGCAAAGCTGAGGAGCTATGCTTGGAGCACAATGACCAATCTAGATTCACTGGCTACTCGTTGAGGCCCGAGTTCCAGGAAGGTGTTGTTGGGGAGGAATTTTTTTCCTTTTTTCCCTTCTAGGATATTTGGCTCATCTCATAATTCAATGATATAAGACAAACTGACAGGAGAAAACAAACAAAAGTTTATACATTTATATATACGTGTAATACATGGTGGAGACCCAGGTAAACTGAGTAACTTGCCAAAATGGCTGGGGCCATCACCTTAAATATCACCTTCGGCTAAAGACAAAAGGAGATGTTGGGGAGGGAAATCTATGGGAGATGACCAGGAAAACACAGGAAACAAGGATAATGTTGTTGCGGTACGCGGGCCTCTCCCGTTGTGCAGCACAGGCTCCGGACGTCCAGGCCCAGCGACCATGGCTCACGGGCCCAGCTGCTTCGCGGCATACGGGATCTTCTCGGACCGGGGCACGCACCCGCGTCCCCTGCATCGGCAGACGGACTCTCAACCACTGCACCACCAGGGAAGCCCGAAGATGATGTTGTTTTGCAGACTTATCATTGTCTTGTCCACCACTAAGAGTTTCTAGAGAATGAGTCCCGTCCCCCACCCCCCCACCGCTTCCTGGTACAGCAGGAAGACACCCTTACAAATGGAGATTTCTCTTTTACCTGTAAATGTCTCTTACAAAAGAGTGACTTCTATTTGGTTTTCAGAGCTCCTCTCATATCTGCTGATTCTTAAAAAATAACCAGGCTAAAATAATCCTTATACCAAAGAGACATATTTTAGGGTGGAAAATTCTGCTCCCTTATAGTGTGCAGCTTAATTTAAAGTGTCATCTAATTTAAAATGTTTATACCCTGGTCTTTGTTCTAATTGATTCAAGGCTTGAGTCATTCAGTGATGCAGGAGGCTGAAGAACACAGGGTCCTTTAACGTTCAGTATCTCTCCTTCGCATACCTGCCCCAAGCAAAATTATACGAAGCGAACATTTCTCTTACTCTGTATCTCTATCTCTCATTTCGCAAACAGAATTTCTGTGGACCTTACTTACTTGTGTTTCAACATTTCCTTCTCCAATCTACTTCCTCTTTTCTCCAACAAAATGCAAGTCTTAAGCCCCACTCTTTTTTTTTTAAATTTTAATTTTTGGCCGCGTTGGGTCTTCGTTGCTGTGCGCAGGCTTTCTCTAGTTGTGGTGGCGAGCGGAGGCTACCCTTCATTGCGCTGCGCGGGCTTCTCATTGTGGTGGTTTCTCTTGTTGCAGAGCAAGGGCTCTAGGCGCGTGGGCTTCAGTAGTTGCAGCTCACAGGCTCAGTAGTTGTGGCATGCAGGCCCTAGAGGGCACGGGCTTCAGTAGTTGTGGCTCATGGGCTTAGTGGCTCCACGGCATGTGGGATCTTCCCGGACCAGGAATCGAACCCGTGTGTCCTGCATTGGCAGGCAGATTCTTAACCACCGTGCCCAGGGAAGTCCCTAAGCCCCACTCTTGATGAGAGTTTCATTTTAAAGACCTCTAGCCCTACCCTATATCTCTGCCAAGTGAAAACGGTTTTTATCAGATAAACTCATTTGTGTTCATATCTTCTACTTAATGTATTATTCATCAGGAAACATACATACTACCGTAACTCATCTAAAATGCAATAGCCTCCTTACAGACATTCTTAAAGAAATCCAGGGAGAGGAGACAATTGATGGGCACTCGTCATGTTTGTTTTGTCAAAGTCAAAATTAAAATACCAAGTCAAAGGATAGAAAGGAAGAAAATCAGTGTTGACTGAGCACCTGCTATGTGCCAGGAACATGATACATATTTTGTACCTTATCAGCTCTGGCCACACCCATCAATCTGGGTGGGTATGGGAACTCAGCATATCCCCACAATCAATGCCTAGGTCACAACTTTTCCCCAGCTTAGCACATAAACAGTTATACTTTCATCATACACACAAGTCTATTACACATATTAGACACACACATATAACACACTTTAAACCTACATACAGCACAAGTCACATTCAAGCATAAGCTATATAACTCACAATTATAACACCCATGCTAATCACACGACACATAAATAAATTTCACACATTGGAATGATAAAATTTATTTAGGGATGGGAAGATCATTCCACTTGCAAAGTTATAAGGAGAGTCAATATCAGGAAAATTCCTGGGTTAGTCAAAAAGAAATTCCATATGAGCTGAATCTTTTCAAAAATGTAGAAGTAAATCAGGTAAATAAGGACAGAAGGGTATTCCAGTCAAAGAAACAACATAGGCAAAGTTACGATAGTAAGAAACCACGTGAAACATAACTCTCAGTAGTTGGAAAACACTGGCAAATAAATGCAAGGGCTCTTGGTGCAGGGAGGGGCCACCACTTGGGAAGCACTGAAGGCTAAAACCTGTGGGTGTGGGTCAACTTTCTAGTTGCTGATATCTTCTAACAACTGCACGTCCTCTATGCCATCAACAAACCCATTCATGCCACAATGGAATTCAATGTAGCTGTAGCTCTTGTAATCTTTGTAGTTGTTTTTGCTATTCTTCCGGTAGCACTTGAGTGTTTTGAAGGGATATGGAGCCCATATATATACACTTCTGTAGTGATCTCTCCAGTTCCTGATGCATATATGCTCAATTTTGTGCCATACGGTATAGACGAAGATGTGATAGTTCTTGTCTTTTGAAACACCTCTTTCCCTCATCAGATCACTGCACTTGTACTTGCTGAATTCCCAGTTTGTGCTAGGGTGGTGCTGTTTCACGAATTCCCTCCAGGAAACGTTCTGGCTGTGTACAAGGAGCCCACATAGAGGGAACAGCAGGGCCAAGAGAGGGCCTAGGACCTTTAGAGAGGATGCCATCTCAGTCACCAGGGCCACCTGTGGGTGTACAGGGAACAGAGAGGAAACACTGCTGAGCTCTACCTTAAAATTCCTCTCTGCCAACATAGGCTCTTCAACCAAATTTTTATCATTTGGTTCCCAGGCTAGAAGGTGATAACTCTCATTAGATAATAAAGTTTATAAGAACGGAAAATATGTTACAGCCTGAGTGAGATAAGCACAAAGTTGTAAAAAACTGATGAAGTTCATTTTGAGAATTCCAAGTACCTCCTGTCTGCCATCTCTTCCACCTGAACTGAGGAACCAATCACCCTCTAGCTAGCTGTTTTGCAGTCCAGATCGATTCTTTTTTTTTTGTTTGTTAATATTTATTTATTTATTTTGGCTGCGTCGGGTCTTAGTCGCTGCATGTGGGATCTTTTAGTTGCAGCATGCGGACTTCTTAGTTGCCGCATGCATGTGGGATATAGTTCCCCGAACAGGAGTCAAACCCAAGCCCCCTGCATTGGGAGCTCGGAGTCCTACCCACTGGACCACAAGGGAGTCCCCAGATCAATTCTCAAAAGAGCATGTGTCCTAAAGAAAATGGTATTTTAAGCTCTATGTCTGTGAGGTGGAAAGTGTTGTTGCCTTTTAAGGGGATACAGAAGATGAATAGAGACTTGGGAGATATTTCTGAAGCAGGAAGGCTTTGGTTCCTTGAAATCTGAGGCTGCAACTACGCTGACTCTGCAAGATGGTGCTTACCAGGATCTTGACTTCTTTAAGACACTTCCCCAAAGCCTGTGTGAAACATGTTATCACTTGTGACTACCCACATCCCTTCTCAGAGGCCATTTCCCTAATTATCATCATTATAAATGACCTTGATTTATTGTTAAGAAGGTCAGCATAAAGGAACTCCAGTTTTGAAATATTGTTCTAATCAATCAAGTACCAAAATTGAAACTGCCCTCACAACAGCTACTCTGGTCAAAATTAGAGCAGAGAGTTGCTTGAAAAAGTCTTCCCTTTAAACTAGCTCTCTGTCGTCATTTACCATGAGGAGTATACCCGGCCCTGTGGAATTTCTAACCTGATTCTCAACTCTCTGAGTGTGATGTCCTCAGATGGGCTTAATAATAACTCCCTCACAAACCTGTAAGAGGCTAATGAGATACGTGTACTGAGAGCATATCTGAGAATGTCAAGTACTCCATCAAACAGAGCGCAAGGGGTAGGCACGTTCTCATTTGTGGCACCCTACCCCTGGCTCAAAAGGCCTAAATAGGATGAAGAGAAGACCAGGATTCAAGCTGCTTCAATGTACAGTTGGCCCTCTGTATCTATTTGTTCTGCACCCAGGAATTCAACCAACCACACTATGGATTAAAAATAGTCCCCCCCCCAAAAAAATCCAGAAAGTTCTAAAAAGTAAAACTTGAATTTGCTGTGTGCTGCCAACTATTTACATAGCATTTACATTGTATTTACAGTTATTTACATTGTATTAGGTATTATAAGTAATGTAGAGATGATTAAAGCATATAGGAGCATGCGTGTATGTTAGATGCAAATACTACGTACACAATTTTATATAAGGGACTTGAGCAAGCTTGGATTTTGGTATCCTGGGCATGGGGGGGTCCTGGACCAATGCCCCCCATGGATACTAAGGGTCAATGGTATTATGCTCAGGAAGATTGGAGAAGAAGTGGGGAGGGGTGGAAGAGTGGAGAGAGGCTCCAAGAACTGTATCAGTGAGATTAACGCTGAGTTGAGTCCAGGTCTTTGGTTCTTACAAGTTGAGTCACTGTCTATTCTTTTTTTTTTTTTTTTTTTTTGTGGTACGCGGGCCTCTCACTGTTGTGGCCTCTCCCGTTGCGGAGCACAGGCTCCGGATGCGCAGGCTCAGCGGCCATGGCTCACGTGCCCAGCCGCTCCGCGGCATATGGGATACTCCCAGACCGGCGCACGAAACCGTGTCCCCTGCATCGGCAGGCGGACTCTCAACCACTGCACCACCAGGGAAGCCCGGGTCACTGTCTCTTTTTAATTCCACCATCTAGAAGTCCAATCAAGCCCCTTACAGTGTTCCTGGGCCTTTCCCTTTAAGCATTCTCAGCACCAACCCTTCTAAACGTAACTCACCCTATTTAGATCCAACACTCCTGTCACTGGCTGTAGTAGGGATCAGTTTATGGATCTAAAGAGCAGAGAGTCTGTGTCTTTCCCCTTTTCTTAGAGCCAAGAAGTCTGCAGCAGTGAAGGAAGGAAGAAAGGAATAGCAGTGGGAGGTACAGTGTTCCAACTGATTGGCAGTGGGGTGGGGGTGAGGGACAGCCTCACTAAGAGAACCAGTTCCTATAGCTTCTCATCTAGAATCCTTGGGTTCACTGTGAGAATAGCCTGGAGCAAAGGTGTCAAACACCAAAGACTGACTTGTGGGCATAAAGGAATTGCAAGGCCTTGGGTAACACCAGAGAGGGGTTATCTAGAGTTATCAGGAGACCACCAGAGATCTGGCTCCTAAACTCATTTCCCAACAAACTTCTAGGGGAAATTCCCTGGATGGCTATGTTCTATGGGAACTTCAGTGAGGAAAACCACATCTGGAGTTGTAAACTGTGGGACTTCCATTGAGAGCTGAAAAGTATCTAGTCAAAGGCACAGTTTGCGGACAAAGTGAGATCCTTGAATGTGTTTCCTATGAACATATTTCTTCAAGGGCTGTTCCTAGCTAAGCCTCCTCAGTTGAATTTCTCACTGGGCCACCTTGTTATCAGAATGCCATAAAGGGTAGCGGAATATGCCACCCCAAAATATGCCTCTGAAGGGAGCAACATTTGCCTCCCCAAAATGTGTCACTTCGGCATGTGGATTATTTTGAGCTGAAAACAATCATGGCATACAAGACTCAGGAAGAACCATTGACCTCCCCTCTAACTACCTAAAAGAATTATGAACAAAGAATACCATCTGCCATTTCAGTGAACAAGGGGTATTGAAGCCATCAAGCCAGCAACCACTGCAGCCACCCCGCAACGGTGCCCCCTGAGGGGAACTCAGGATGGAGATAAACAGGATACTGGCCCTAGACAGTCAAGGTGCATCTCAAAGGAAAGATTTCAATGAGCCCAGACTCTTGCATCTTCTTATACACAGAAAAGTGCTAAATTCATTAAACTTAAGACGCCTGGTTTTTCTTTAATTAACAGTAATCTTTTGATGTTCCAACTACCTGTTGGTTTTTTTTTTGGAAAAACTCCTATATATCCTGGCTCCTCCCTAACCTCTTCAAAACAGCCCCTCAAGGCTATCTGAGAGGCTGTCTCCCAAGCTTAGGTCCTCAGTAAGTCCACCAAATAAAACACCCTTCTCACCTTTTAGGCTGTGCGTTTTTTTCAGTCGACAGAATGTAGGTAGGGGACTTGCTCCAGGAAGATAGTTACGGGGATAATTATAGTATAGTACAAACTAGGTGTGTAGACAGGGAGGCACCTAGCAAAGTCTGTTTGTTAAAATTTCTCTCTGTCCCACTGTCTCTACAAGGCTCAACAAATACTTGTTTACCATCATTTGCTCCTTTCAACTTTGGTGAATTGCCTTCCTTCCTGTAATACTATCCCCAACATCCTCTTTTGTCTTTAGCTGAAAATGGTATTTGAGGTATCAGCTTGGGCCACTGGGGGGAGTTTTAGTCAGCTTTCTTGGGTATCTCCCAAGCATACAGGAAATATACATTTTGTTAAGCTTCTGTTTGTTTTTTGTAAAAATAATAATAAATAGAAATCTCAGTTAAATAGAGTCAGGAGACCAGAAGGGGGAGCTCTCATGCTCTATGAGGATAGCAGAGCCAACAGGAAGAAGAAAGATTTCCTCTTCTTTCCTGGCTCAGACATTAAGAGACTGTCACAACTCAGCCAACAAAAAGCCATGCTCTGTTTCCTATAGCCCTCTCAACTTCCTTTTCCCCTCTATAAAATGCTCCTCTCCATTTTTGCTGGAGACTTGCATGTGGCTCACCATGGTTGTAGACCTCAAATTGCAATTCTTTGCTGATCCCAAATAAACCTATTTTTTGCTGGAGAAATGACTGGCAGTCTGTTTGTTTTAGGTCAACATTTTCTCTTGTTAATCTATCTCTTATTACAGGGGGATCTCATCCAGGTCTCAGAACCTAGAAGGATAGAGCGAAAATTCTTTTTCCTGTCCTATAGTCAGAATGCTTAGTTTATATCCAGAACTTGTCTTCAAAGCATGTTAGTAGCAATGCCATCCTGTTTCTTCTCTTTGAATGGGAAATATGTCATCAGGATTAGATGCGGACGTGTTGGTATTTACAGGAACTCTGGTGCACTGTAAACCCTAGCTCATGTCAAGTATTCCTTGAATAACGGGGAATCATGTGCTGATAGTCTAGACGGGGATCGTCTCAGAGGATGCTGTAAATCCAACTACTCTAGTTCTTTGGGTGAAGAGCGGGGGCAAAAAGGCAAGAATTCTGGGCACCTGGGTATGGAGGATTTGAGAGGTGACTCTAAGAAAAGATAAGATGGCCATCATGTGTCCATACATCTTGAGCCCTTCCCAGCAACTTAGTGTTATCTACTGAAGACCTAAATCAAGTAGTGACTCAAGGAATATAGAGGCAGGAGGGAGACACTCCTAGGACTCATGTGTGAAGTGGCAAGCTAAGAAAGCGATCCATTTTATGTCTGCTAATAACTCTTTTTCTGGGAAAAATCCCCAGTTTAAATTCTTCTAGGAACTTAAGTGAGGGGCAGTAGTTTCTCTTGAGTTAACAGGGTCTCCACTGCCATTAGCTCAAAATAATCCACATGCCAAAGTAGCACATATTGGGGAGGCCTCTTTTGAACCCCTAAGTTTTTTAACAGGTGGCAATACAGTACTGTATACTTAAAATGTGCTAACAGGGTAAATCCTATGGATTCTCATCATACACACACATGTAAGGGTAACCATGTGAAATGATAGATATGTTTGGTAGCTTGATTATAGTGATTATCTCAAAATGTATATGTATACCAAATGAAGTTGTACATCTTAAATATGAATAATATATGTCTGCTACAATTCAAATGCTTTCAGCTCAGTCCTTTCTCACATACACACACACACACACGCACACGCACGCACACGCGCGCACACACACACACTTTCCTTCTTTTAGCAGTTAATGTCTTTATACATCTCTGTCCCCCAATTTGCTCCTAAATATTTAAAGGGAGAAGGAAGGGGTATGAGAATTGTCTTGAGAGGAATCATTCTCTCTGGAGCAAATGAGACAAAGTTTTTTGTGTCCTGGTCATTGATCTGATGAGCTTTAGTCTTGAGCCAGAGTTTATGAGGATATTAAAGTGTGTGCATGTTTATAAACTAGAGGAGAATTAAAAGAGGATAGGAGGGAAAAAAAAAATCTCACACACAAGACTATAGTCTTCTCAAATACTTGGAATTGAAGGTATCTTATTTCCTTTATTATAAGGAAGACTTGAAAAATCTTTCAGTCGGGAAGAGTCTTAATGATCTAGTACATTTTAATACTCTGACTTACTAGGGCGACTCAAAAGTTTGGGAAGAGGAAAAGAAAATCCCTTGTATAATTTCTTGATCTTATTAGATCCAAACACAGTAAGGTTGCCGCATTATACAGATAGAGCTCTCATGTTGCCAGTGTCTATTTCCAAATTTTTAATGCTTCCCCCAACAGCTGACATTTGGGAAGAACAGAAACCAGATATTTTCAAAACATTCCTTGTGATGAAGTGGAAAAAGCCCTGGATTAGTAATCGTGTAAACTAGACTTTTGTCTCAGCTTTTCTACTAACCTTTTGGTCTTAGCAAATCTCTTAACTTTGCGCTTTTGTATATTGCAACACTAGCAGCAGCATCCCAAGGGTGCTATGGTATTAGAATGAGATAACTTAGATGAAAGCACCTTGAAATTCTTGAAGTGCTAAGTAATGACTAAATTCCAGAGGATGAGATTAGAGAGAGCAAAGCTGACCAATATTATAGAAGGAAGCTTATTACAGAAAAGCTCAGATTCATTATAAGTTTATGTCTCATCTTTCTCTTTCATGTAATGTATTTAACAGAATCGGTTATATAATGAACCAAAAAAAAAAAAGGAAAGAAAGAAGCAGCGGAGACGGAGCCTGGGACAGCTCAAATGCATTACTCTTTGTTATTTAAGGAGTAAATTAAAGGCCAGCAGCTGGGCCATAACCCCTGCTGGGTGTCATCTATTTATCAAAGTGCACAGGCACCTCTGGGTTACCTTCACAGGCAATGACAACACGTCTGGTGCTGGCCTTGGCCCGGTATCTGCAGTTGGGAGCCCTGGAACTTCCTGTCTCCCTGCAATCTGTGACCTTCGCTACACCCTCATGGCAGTTCATCCGGCCATTCTTGCACAGAATATTGGCGGTTCTGCAGATACTATGAATGCTCCCAAGGTCTTCATGAATGAAAGTGTTGAAGTGCTTGCACTGATGTGAAGTCATCTTCCGTCTTTGCATCACCAAGTTGCAGTAGCCATCATTGCCTCCTGTCACATCAGGGTCCACGTGTTGCCGCAGGAATCGTTGGTACATGCGATCCTGGCCATAGGAGGGCTGTACCAGCCCCAGCCCCAGCAGGGTCAGCAGCAAGAGCAGAAGTAATGCATGGGTCGTCTGGAGAGCCATCACTACCTTGGAGATGCCTAGAGAGAAACCAAGGGGCAGGCAAAATCATCCCTGATTCAACAGGAAGTGAGCAACCCAAAGCAGCAAGGACAGTTTTTGGAGCGTCAGACAGGTCCATTTTCTACACATGCAGTCCAAGGGTTAGCCCCAGCTGAAATCCTAGTTTGATATATATGGTTACTACTGTCCTTTGTTTCAAAGAGGCTGCTTCATGATGGTGGATCACCCCGTGTGAGTGATTAAACGGCTGACGAGGGACCTGCACTTAATTCCACCTACAGCCTATCCTTAACGATAATGATTAGGATCAAACATAACTATCCTTCTTTTAAATGCCAGCTTCTAAGTTCACAACCACCTTTTGCCTGTGCACAGAAAGATACGAAGCTCTATGTCATATTCCTGTGTCTGATGCCGCAGATATGCGATATGGAGTTGGGAAGTGAGGCAAGTGAAGGAGTTGTGGGAAGAAGGATGGCAGGAAGAAATGATGTTCGATTTACCCCTCAACCCCAGGACCACTGGATACAACTTCTGAAGATACACTTGGCACTTGGGTAAGAGCTTCATCACAACAATGTACTTTGGGTTGCTTTTCCCAAATCCAATTTTGCGCAGTTCTGTCTACTTTCTCTCATCCTGCTTCTTTGTGACCAACAACATGGTTTAGCAAGATGACTAGCTACAGAGTAGATTAAACTATTCATCCAAGAGCAAACCCATGACCTCAGCCACAGTAACCAACTGATTTAACAAGACATGGAAAAACATTATGAACAGAAGTCCCATGTAGACATCAATGGGTGCATCTCAAGATTCTACCTACAACAGAAAATGAAATGATCCCTAAATCCTCCCAACACGTACTTTTGTTTAGAGCTTGCCCCAAAGGCTTTCTCCACTGCACACATCAAATCTCAGTAAGAACTTCTTTTGATACTGTGATCCCAAAGACCTAGTTCTGCCACACTAACTGTGTGACCTTGGGGAAATGACTTAACCTCTCTCAGTATATTTCCTCACAAATAGAATAAGCATAATAATAATAATACCTACTTCTTAGGAATGTTGTGAAGAATAAATGATAAAATCAATGTAAAGTGCTTATCACAATGCCTAGCCTACGGTTAAGTGTTCAGTAAATGTCAGCAGTGGCCATTTTTACAATTTCCATTTTTCTTGGTTTCCTTTGTTCCCTCAATCTGATACACTAACAACTAAACTGAATTGCACATATTATTGACACCCTCCCTCTTATTTTGTAGAGAGTCTGTATTCCCAAGAGACGAGAAGGCTCTTTTTAAGCCAAAATATCTCAGCTACTAGAATTTATGCTATGTCCCTAGACAAATGTTTCCTCTCCAAAGTGCATGGAATTTTCTTTCTTTCATGTCACCATTCTTCAAAGGACTTGACATTTGGGGGTGCTTCTTCTCTTTTCCTTGCAAAGTCAACAAAACATAGTGGATTAGGATTTCAATTCTTCAGATGATTGACCTGAGATAAAATGACTTGCCTGTGACTCAACATTTCATTCTAAACAAACTTTGGTTGTGAGAGAACAAGAGATCAAGAGCAAAAACTACTAGGGTTGGCTACTCAGCTGCTAGCTCCATCAGCAGGTCAGGAAGAACCCTATCCCAATGCCACATGACTTCCTGGGAAAGTGTCATTTGTCCTAACACCAGGGCAGGGTATGCAATAATAATGCTCTAAGTAGATGTTTGGAGATGTGAGTTTTCACAACTGTGATGTGATCTATGTAATAATGGTCCATGCCTTTGACTTTCCCCATCAAGATCGTGAGTGGGCAAGAGTCTGTTTGGAAGCCCCTTTGCCTAATATTAGGGAGATAGTCCTGGTTAGAGAACCAGAAAAAAAAAATCCAAATAGTCTACCAAACTCTGGAAATTTCTCGCTTCCTAAGAGTTTTTTGATTTTATCGTAAGATAAAGTTTCTTTCTTTCTTCTTTTTTTTAACACTATACATTTCCAGAACTTTTTTTTTTTTTTTCTGTGTTGAGTCTTTGTTGCTGCATGCGGGCTTTCTCTAGTTGCGGCGAGCGGGGGCTACTCTTCGTTGCAGTGTGTGGGCTTCTCATTGCGGTGGCTTCTCTTGTTACAGAGCACGGGCTCTAGGTGGTGCACAGGCTTCAGTAGTTGCAGCACGCAGGCTCAGTAGTTGTGGCACACGGGCTTCGTTGTTCCGAGGAATGCGGGATCTTCCCAGACCAGGGATTGAATCCGTGTTCCCTGAATTGGCAGGCGCAGTCTTAACCACTGCGCCACCAGGGAAGTCCCAAGACAAATTTTCTAATAAAGGAGGTTTGGAAAACCCTTCTCCCTACTTCAGAAAGAAATGACAATGTTTTCAATTTCGAAATAGATGAATTCAAGGCAGATATATTCATGTGTTGAGTATGCACCCATAACCTTTCATCCTTTCCTCCATAAATTGAGTACTTTCAGTGAGGGTGGGCTCTCTGTGGCACCAGGACACTGGCCTATAACCCAGGTATTGAGGAGCCAGGGCTTTTGGTCCATTTGAGGGCATGTAGGCAGCAGGGAAGGCCACCATGGGGAATACTGTGACCACTATAGTCATTCATAAGATGGCAAAACTAGTGATGCATAACTGTAATTTATTAACTACTTTCTAAATAAAATATCCAGGTATCTGTTGATGAGATTAGGTAACAGGAAGTTAACCACTGAACCCATGGATTAATTAGCATATTTTACAGAGATTGTTAACCTAAGTTTGTATTTACTTAAAAACATATCAAGTTGAAGAAGAATAAAGGATAAGCTTCGAATCTTTCTATGACCTCCCCAAGACCTCAGAGTTGCCAGACGTCAGTTGATAAAGTAAAAGATTAAAGAGAAAATAATTATAGTAATCAATTTTTTGATCTTTATATAAAATAACCATGAGAATTTCCTGGCAGTGTTCCATTCAAAGCAATATCAAATTACTTCCTGCTTAAGGTAAGAGTGGCTACCCTGCATGGATTTTGGTATTCATGCAGGATTACAAATGTGTGTGTGTGTGTGTGTGTGTGTGTGTGTGAGAGAGAGAGAGTGTAATTAATCTGTTGGTATTTAGTCCTAAACTCTTCTTCCTAGGGCTTAACATTTGTAAAAGTAATACTGGCTTATGAAAGGTGACAGCAAAACAATTTGCTTCTAAAAATTCTGCTTAGTGGCCTTGAGCCCTGGAATTTTCCCAGCAATCTCTGTAAGATGAATTTAACATCCTTACCTTCACGGAAAGGTAAAAGTCCACCTCCTTAATGCCTGATAAGGAACTGACTGATAAGGAAAAAGGCATTTCTATCCCATCCAACCCTCTCAGGGGACAGCTGAATAGAGAAAATGGGGAAAGATCAATAGACCAAGAATCAGTGAGAAGACTTTGATTTTTACTGATTTCAGAGACGTTTTTATTTATTAAGCATATTGTAAAACAGAAAACAAAAGATCAGCAGCTCATTTTCTGGATTCCTGGCAATGAATGTTGCTACAGTAAGAGGGGGAAATGCAAGGAAAAAAGAGCAGAGCCAGCTCTAGGCTACTGCCCTGGAGGGATAAAGGACTCATCAAAGTGGGTGGGCCAGTCATTTTCACAGCCAATAACAATGACTCTGTACCCTCGTGTGGCTCTGTACTTGCATGGAGGCCGGGGGGACCCTCCTTTATGCTTGCAAGTGGTGATCTGGAAGGGAGACTTGCTTATTCTGAGATCGCCTTCGTAAGGTTCTCCATTCTTATCTTCACAGATGCCCTTGATGTCATTCCTGCTGCCATGAATAAAGGTGTTGACGTCTTTGCAGGGATTGATCAGGTCTCGCCTCTTCATTATGCTTTCACAGTATCTGTCATCCCGGCCCTTTGGTTGGCGATCATAGTGCTGGGACAGGAAGTGTCTGTATCTGCGGTCATCCTGAGCCAGGGTCAGTGGGGTCAGACCCAGACCCAGCATGAAGACGAAAAACAGGGGGCTCAGGAACATCACCATCTCTTTCAACAAAAGCTCCTACCAAGAGGAAAAGGAGATGCAGTAGGGGCACAGAATAGCATTGCCAAATTAGGGTAAAAGGACAGGGACCTTTCCCTCTGACAGGGCGTCATAAATCAGGTATCGTCCGTCACCTAAGCATATCTTTTTCTTTTCCTTTCCCCATTAGTCTCATATGTCTTGTCTATCGATTCCTTTGGAAAGTCTATTTAAAAGTTTCCTGAACACACCTTCCAGCCCCAACCTCTCTTTCCTATCCCTGAAAATTTACGTTTCTGCCAGTTGTAGCATTACAAAATCCATTCACACTCTTTAATTCATATTAACTAATTTAATAACAAACACTACATAAGCCCCTACTGGGTACCAGTCACCGTGCTAGGTCCTGGAACACAAAGACCATTAAGACACACCAAGTCTTGGACTCCCCAGGTGGCACAGTGGTTAAGAATCCACCTGCCAACACAGGGAACATGGGTTAGATCCCACATGCCACGGAGCAACTAAGCCCGTGCGCCACAACTACTGAGCCCACGTGCCACAACTACTGAAGCCCACGTGCCCACAGCTGGTGCTCCACAAGAGAAGCCACTGCCATGAGAAGCCTGTGTACCACAACGAAGAGTAGCCTCCACTCACCTCAACTAGAGAAAAGCCTGTGCGCAGCAACAAAGACCCAATGCAGCCAAAAATAAATAAATAAATTTATTTATTTAAAAAATAATAAATGGTATAGTGTCATGGATATTAAATTAATTATTAATTTTTATATTGTGCTTTTCTTGTGTGTAACTCAATAAACATATTTTCGTATTAAATATTTTTGTAGCCCTTAAAGAGGCCACAGGTTGTAGCACTGAGCCTGTAGTGATGCTAACCAGCCCTGGGAGTACAACTGTGGCTCTAGAAAGACAAGAGGATTCGGGGTTCTGCTGGTTACATGTGAAGGCGTGTGACAGGGTGAGCGAAATGACCTCTCTTTCTTCCTTTTTTTTTTTTTTTTTTTAGTGAAGCAAGTAAAGTGTTTATTAGGAGGAAAAAGAGTACAGTACATGTGGATGGACACACAGAAGGGCTCAGAGAGAGAGACTGTCATGCCCTCGTGGTAGTTTGAATCACTTTTATGGGGCATTTCACTACCTTGTCTGTTTTATCATAACTGTAGACAAATTTGGTATACTGCCAAAGAATTACCAAATTATACACTAAGAAATTACCAAATTATACACTAAGTCATTCCTCAATTATGAAATAAAGAAATAGTCACTGAAAAGGTTTCCATTAAGCACATAAGAGTATGATCTGTAATAGCAGCAGCAAAAGTGTGTTCTTGGGAGGTTAGCAAGCAAGTGGTACATGATTGGAAGAGTCACACCTAAAAGAATAACAAGTAGTCCTACATGGCGGCTGCTCCATCACAGCTGCTGGGCTGCCATGCTCCCCATGCACCAAGCTCTTTACATTTACATTGTGCTTTTCAGTCTCCTGGGTGTGTTTTCTCTTTCTAGTTTTTTGGAAGACAAAGTTTTCTTGAATTGTAATCAGTTAAGTCTCTTGCTCTGCTATGGACAAATATTGCCTTCTAATGTCACAGGCAATTGTAGAATGGCAGGCTGTCAAGGTTGGAAGGGTCCTTAAAGGTCACACAGGGAGCAGAGGCCAGAATCCCAGAGTCCAAAATCTGGAAGTAGAACCTGAGCTGGAAGTACCCAAAAGAGTCATTAGGTGGCAGTGGTGGATAGGAATGCTGTCTCCCACGCTGTAGAGAAAACAGAGGGTCCTCGTAGGAGGTGCCAGTATTGTACAGGGGATATTGCTGTTCACCGAAGGGGGTGTGAGCTGGCAGGCCTGTCTACAGTTTCTGTCCAAACACTCTATGCTTTAGATATTAAGCCCAAGGACAGCTCACCAGTGTCAAAGCAAAAGTCACAAAGCTCAGTATATGCCCACAAGGATATCACAAAATAAAGATTTACCTCTTGTCAGGTTTCATGGGTGCCATTCCAAAACCATTATTCATGGGATCTGAGCGAACAATTACCTGTTTACTTCTCAGTGTTTCCTACTGGTGCATAATCTACAGGAGGGCAGGGCTCATATTATTCACCTTGTATTATACTACCTGCCTCACAGTAGACCCTCAATAATAATTTTTTTTAATGACTGACTTCATTTTCTTCTCCAGGCCTAAATTTGTTCATCTATAAAATGAGAGTTGCTAGCTCTAAAAGTTTGAAATTCCCTGGTTCTCATAAAGCATAAGAGAGCCTCTCTAGTTTCACTAGCAAAAGTGCAGTGACCATGGAATTGTAAAGATAAGTTTGTATAAGTTTAGTTGGTAGCACAAGGCACCAGCTGGAAGAAAGAGATGATAGGATGGTCTGCAGCCCAATCTCACTGGTATGCAACATCCCTGAAGGCTCGGTGTGTAAGTCCAGCCCATACCACTTCTAGTTAAGGCACTGGACTGACCCTACCTCAGGGCTTGTCACCCTAAAAAGCCACTTGTTTGTTGGGAGGTTGAAGGTCCTCATGTGCCAATCTGCGGAGGTAAAGGAATATCTTTGTTTCTGACTTACAAAATTTGCACATTCGTTCTATAACAACTCAGCTGAAGTTTGCTCAGCCTTATTGTAATCTTGACTCCCTGAGACATCCAGAAACCAAATCCCAGCAAATACACACCACTGGTGAGAGTGGTCACCACTATCTAACATCTGCTCCCCCCACTCATACCTTCCACAAGCATATATGCAATTCTCAATTTCCCAAAAAGAGAGGTAAAAGGGAATTGGAAGAAAACAAATAAGAGATTATTTGTGGTCCAGAAGTGAATCTGCCTAGGCCAAGGGTGCAGAGCCTCACATTTGGTCAAGGGTGGTCAGACTCATTTACACATATCCTTCTAGACCCAAGCACATAAGTGTCAGTGGAATTTGTTCCAAATGTTCTTTAGACTAACTTTATCCTCTGTCTCAAACCAATCCCTTGGTCTTTATAAAAATTAACATTCTCTTCCTCTCCCCACAGGCAATATTTTGTATTCAAGGGATCCACCAAACTTTATGCACCAGGGAATTACCTTGACCTTTAATGATGAGTAACTATGGTCAGTGTACCTTCTTTTGATCTTGGGATGTGTCCCACTTTGCTCTCAAAGAGCACCCAAAACTTTCTTTCTTTTTTTTGGCCGCACTGCACGGCCTGTGGGATCTTAGCTCCCTGACTAGGGATTGGACCCACGCCCTCCGCAGTGAAAGCGCAGAGTCCTAACCGCTGGACCACTAGGGAATTCCCCCAAAACTTTCCTAAGGAAAGAAATTATCAGGGAAGGTTATAAGAAAACAGAGCTGGGACTTCACTGGTGGTCCAGTGGCTGACTCTGCGCTCCCAGAGCAGGGGACCTAGGTTCCATCCCTGGTCCCGGAACTAGATTAGATCCCACGTGCCAACTAAGTTCGAAGGTCGCAACTGAAAGATCCTACATGCTGCAACGAAGATCTCAGATCTCATGTGCTGTAGCTAAGACCCGGCGCAGCCAAATAAATAAATACCGAAAAAGAAAAGAAAACAGAGCTAAAAATATATTTTCTGTTTTCTTTTCTTGTTAAGCCACATACAATGCCTGTATGGTGGGGGGGTGGGGGGGTTCCGGATGCCCTTCAGCAAACAGCTTTCCCAAATATTTGGGGATTTTATCACAATTTAGGAGTCTCTCCTAAACCTCCACTTGCTCCTAATCGCACTAATTTCCCTTCATCTATATATAGGACAGTGGTCTCCAACCATTTCGGCACCAGGGACCGGTTTTGAGGAAGACAATTTTTCCACGGACGTGGGTGGGGCGATGGTTCAGGCGGTAAGGCGAGCGATGGGGAGTGGCGGATGGAGCTTTGCGCGCCCCGCCGCTCACCTGCTGCTCTGCGGCCCGGTTCCTAACAGGCCGCGGACTGCTACCCGTCCACAGCCCAGGGGTTGCGGACCCCTGATATAGAATATCCCCCAAAGAAATATGTTTTCATTTTAAACTTTGGAATCTAATTCATTTTCTTCTTAATTCATGAGCTTGGGCCCAGAGGCTTTAAAAGGGGGGAAATAGTTTCACTGAAATGGATGGACAGCTAAAAATAGTATATAAACAAACAAGTAAATAAATAAAACAACGGATTACCCAGGTGGAAGAATCTTACAAAAACCTGGAAGTTTCCCTCCAACTGAAGAGAGGTTCCAGCTGTTTGTTCCTGGAGATGGGTTCCAGCTGTGTGAACCTGGAGGCCCCTCTTAGTTCTCATTATATAGTGATCAGATGAACAGGGTGGGGAGACCAGATCTAAAAATCCCCAATTCTGCAGAGACAGGCAAACCAAGGACACTGCTCTTGGACAAACAATGAGAGTCATTCACCTCTTCCCTGGGCATGACCCGGCCAACTATCAATCCACCTGAATAGATTAGAGATTTGTTCCAGAGGCAAAGTTTGATAAACATGGCCTCTTGTCCCAAAGTTGCTTTTCCTGACATCGTGGTTCTCACTTTTGCCCAGGACAGGACCGAGGTTTCATTGTTGCCATGCAATGATCTGGATCCAGAAGATGTCGTTTCTTGGGCCAGCTCTAAGAACTGCCTCAGAAGAAGCCTGCAGAGTGAGATGGGGTCTCTCAGCAGGATGCTGCTCCACTGTGCTTTCTGTTTACCCACATAATTTGGTTTCATGAAAGGGTGCTAAGTAGGTTTCACAGAACCAGGAAAGCACTTCCAGAGAAGCTTATATGACAGCTCTTAGCACCCTGCCTTTGACCTCAACCTCCCAGCTACTAACCCTTACTAACCCTCGGAAATATCCTTATCATATGTCCTGGGCTTCTCTTTCCTTTCTTGTTTACCTGTCCACAAATGACTAACTGTGCACTCAATCTTCTGTTCCTTGTAACACAGTTGTAAACTTGATTATCTCCGCCATCAGTGCAACACTGACATTGCATCCACTCACAAAGTGGATTCGTTGCCTGCATAGAAAGTGGACTGAAGGTCACCAGGATCACTTATAGATCCTATGGTTTCAAATATCAGGTAGCAGCAGGAGGCCAACTATTTCACAAACCCTCAGCACCCACCTTCACTGATGTTGGATCTAGGACACTGTTATCTTCTTAAAAATCCTCAGCCTTCTATTGTCATCCACCCACCTCCAACTTTTCAGTCTCCCTGTATTTTAGGTGTCAACTGAAGACAGGCTGCCTACCAGTAAAACAAATGCACTTGAAATCATCATAATAATTATAATAATCAGTGTTACCTTTCACTCTATGAAGCGCTCATATACATGATTACATTTAACCATCACCTAGACCGTGTGAGGTGGGTATTATGTAAGCCAGTTTTTCTTATGAGGAAACTCTGAAATCAAACAGCAGGGGCCCTTGACTGAAACAGCCCTTTCTTTTTCTTTTGCTAATAACTTTCTTGCCTCATCCAGCTTCTGACTATAAAAGCCTTCCATTGAAGAGCTCCTCGGAGCACCTCTTATCTACTAGATGAGATGCTGCCCCATTCGTGCATCGTTCAACAAAGTCAATGAGGTCTTCAAATTTACTCCGTTGAATTTTGGTTTTTAACAGAGCAAAGAGCAGTAGCGGGATGTGGGGCTCTACTGGCTCTAACGACGTGCCCAAACACTCACTTTCCTTTTATGGGCAAACACACTGTTTGAGAGGGGCACCTACCGTAAATTAATCACACATCACTTTTTAAACAGAAACTGAAGAACTGAGTTTTAAAAAGTTATCAGCCATTACAAACCACACAGCTGGGTTTTGCCTTGTGATTCAATCTGATGATCTTTTTCTTTTAGTAGTGAGTTCAGATTTATTAATACAAGTAACATGATTAAAAAAAAGTTATCAGGACTTCCCTGGCAGTCCAGTGGTTAAGACTCCTCTTTCCAATGCAGGGGGCAAGGGTTCCATCCCTGGTTGGGGAAATAAGATCTTACGTGATGCTTCATGCGGCCAAAAAAAAAAGACTTATCAAACCAGTCATTTGTTGTGGAGAAGGCTGCCAGACCCATTGCTGACACCCTGATTGCCTCAGCAGTCCTGGACCAGGAAGCAGCAGCCAACTCCCACAGTCTGTGGGGATCAAGATGACTTGATCAACACAACCCCACCCTAGTCTGATAAATCGCCTAAAAGCAGAGATTAGATACTCCACTCCAAAATCGAGCACATACAGTCCCATGGCCTGAAACACCAGTGCAAGCACCAACTCACACAAACAGATCAGCCTCTGATTTTAGAGTTATGCAGTAGTGCTGGGGGGCAGCCTTCAGCCTCTGAACACAGCCAAGTCCTTTCTCTTCCTCTGGGGTTTCACTCGACAGCCTTTTCACAACCTGTCCATAGAGCTGACAATGCCAAAAGTCAGCTGGTGAATGGTGAATGATTGCTTTCATTCTAATTGTTTTTCTTTTCACCTTGGCCCAATGAGGTTATGATGAAACAGAATATAAGATTTTGGAAAAAATTAAAAAAGAAAGTTTTACTATTTCATTAAAATGCATCTAAGTGTTTACTCAAAATACTTATAATGAGGAACTACAGTCAACGCTCCACATCCACAGGTTCCCCATCCTCGGATTCAACCAACTATGGATCGAAAATATTTGAAAATAAATTCTAGAAACTTCCAAAAAGCAAAATTTTTAAGTTGCTGTGCCCCAGCAACTGGTTACATAGCACTTACATTGTATTAGGTATTATAAGTAATCTAAAGCATGAAACTTATTTAGTAACAGAAGTAATGGTTAAAAGAAGATGAAGTCCACATGGAAATAAGGGTCACACCTCTACCTCCAGGAAGTAGGGGACACTATTGATTGAGGGAGGATGGGGACAAAGTCCAGCTGACCCACCTCTATTTCCAAACAAAGACAAACATTAAACATTCCATTTTCAACAAACCCTTGTTCTGTGCCCATTCGCTCTTTCCCAGGTATTTCAATGTGCTCGGAGAATAGCTGTTTACAGAGATTGTTCTTTGCTCAAATAAAGATTAAATAAAAACTAAAGAGAGGTTTCACTGGCCTGCTGTGGTCCACTTTCTTGGCCAACTACTTTAATTTATGAATCACACTGGCAAATGCTTACAACAGCAACTCGGCAAACCCCTTAGTTTTGACCGCTTATAAGCTCACATCTGCTCTTTCAACAAAGCCAGAGCCATTCCTCTTTTCCTAGAATGATTTTCCCCAGCCTCTCTGCCAAACTATAGTTTTTCTCCGTATTACTGGAGTACCTTCTTTCCTATAAGAGTCATGTTACCAACATCCTACAGTCGGAATTAGAAGAGGGACCTCAGAGACTATCTATCAACCCCTCATTTTACAGATGAGGAACCAGGAACGAAAAAAGAACATGTATCGCCCAGTGAATATTTGCAGTTCCAGGGACTAGAAGCTTCCCACTGCACCACACAGCATTCACAGTCCACACTAGTAATTTCTAGGAAATCAAAGATCATTTTAAAGGTGCCAATGAAAAGTTGCTGTTTAAGAGAAAACTACTTTGGATATTTCCATATATTCCCAAAGTATTTTAACACCCCCATTATCTGTTAAAAAGTTGCTTGAAATATAAAGTGTCTTATTCTTCTGCACTAACTAGTTAGTAGCTGTGTAGTTCAGTGGCTCTTTGAATACCTCTGGCTGCTTCTGGGAGGTCAGCCATGTGCTATTCAGATAATTATGTCACTTGGGTCTCTAGTGATTACATTTATGACTTGATTGTGAGGTTCCCGATGACACAGGAAAGGTCTTGGCTCTGTTGGGGAAGAGGACATTTTCTTCCACCCTTCCAGGTTCTTCTGGCTGGTTTAAGAATCAAATTGACATGAGACAGATTGACAGGAGAAAATCAAACAGATGTTTAAAATCATGGACACATTAGAGAGACCCAGGAAAACTGAGTAACTCGCCAAAATGGCAGAAGCCTCTCTTTAAATACCATCCTCCCCTCAAGGCAAAAAAGGATGTTGAGGGTGGGGAGAGTCAGTTATGTTAGGGTACCAGGAAAAGCGCAGTAAAAAGTAGGGCTGTGATGCAAACTGAAGTCTTTGCCTTCTCCAGCAGGCAAGAGTTTGTAGATATTTGGTCATCCTCTTCCAGGTACAGCGAGGGAGACACTCTTACAAATGGAGATTTCCCTTATAAATGTAAATGTTTCTTACTACAAAAAGTTAACTCCTACTAGGCTTTCTGGATTTTCCCCTTGTCTGCTGTTTCTTAGGAAATAACCAGGTTAAAATAATATGCTACAGAGATAGTTTGGGGTGGCAAATTCTGCTCCCCTACAGCTCACTTGAGATTTCCCCAGGCCCCAGAATGCTGCTGAAACTGTTTTTACCATCCTGCCTAAATAAGCCCTGTTACCATTTGATGTGCTGTCACAGAGTAAGAAAGCTGAGGATCTCAAGGTTCCACTAAGAAAGCTTAGAGAAGAGGTTGGTGGCAATGTCTCAAAGAACGTCTCAACTCTGGCTGAAGGTGGGTTAAGGGTGAGGAGACAGAGGAGTAAACAGAAAACGAAAACACGAGCTCCCACGTGTCAGTTGCGGTCGCAAAAACCGGACAAGACCTGTTTCATAAATCTGGCGATCATCCTGGGTACCAAGCAAAAGAATCCTTAGTTTTGAGGAAGTGTAGGCCTCCCCGGATTTCCTTCGGTTCACCAATTCTGGGGTCCCCCTTAGAGCCTACGTTCGAGGCAACAGGCATTTCACGCTGGCATCTCCACTCAGCTGCGGAAAATAAGCATCGGAGTCGGAATGGGGAATCTCTGACTCTACAAGAACTGGACCTTTACCTTCCTTCCTATTCCTCAGCTCCTCCAGTCCGGTGACGCAAACGCCTCCCCACCGAGCCCCACACTGCCTCTGCTAAAAGGCGACTCCCCCGACTCAAACGCCCCTGATGAAACTACTAAAAAGGAGGCGGGGGGGGAGATGGAGGAAAAGGAGCTGGAGGAGGAGAAGTGTGAACCCACCTCGGCCTCAGAACAAGTCTGCAGAAACAGGTAGAACGGTGGAAAGAGACGTGTTTGCTTCTCACCCGCTTCTTCCTCCCAGTGAGGACGATGGGGAGCCGGTAGAAACGCAGAGGAGAGGAGCGTCGGGGTGCAAGCCTTTTTGTAGTTGAGACCCCGCCCAGTTTCTCCGAGAAGGCGCCTTCCTCCAGGACCCGCCTCCGACGCAGGCATCAGAGCAGCCCCCGCCCCAGGCGGAGGGGGTGGGTCCCCACCTGGGCTGGGAGCGAGCCTGGAGATCCGAGCCCGACGCTCAGGGGCCGTGAGGACACGGCCTGTGGGGGCTGCAGACGGCGGGACCCTGGCCCCTTCTCCCTGCTCCCGGGAGCGAGGTTACCCCTCCCAGGCGTCCGCTGTCGAGAGTCCAGGAAGCCAGGCAGTTTGGCCCCGCACAGATAATCTTTTTTGTTGAACAGTTCTCTTTTGTAGAACAGTTCAGAACGCTGGAAAGTTTGTATAGAACTGAGCTTTTGTCAGTGGTTGGAAGCGGGAAGGAAAAGTTTCAACCACTGGGGCTCGTCCGGGATTTGAACCCGGGACCTCTCGCACCCAAAGCGAGAATCATACCCCTAGACCAACGAGCCACACTGACGAAAAGTAATGTACTTTTCCTCTGAACCTTACTTCTCCGTCAGCAATTGGCTGCCAGGCTGCTCTGGAGTTTTACCTTATGTTGTGACATTTACCTTTCGCTTTGCTTAGCTCTTCCGTCTTGAAGAAGTCTCACGTCTGACTGCAGCCTCGCTAATTCTCCTCGATCCTTGTCCTGGACGCCTCCAGACGCCGGATGGGGTGAGAAGAGTCAGCTTTCCAGACGTCAGACCACCTGTCTGTGGTCCCGCAAGCCCCGCCGGGAGGAGTCTAGCCTTGAGCTCCAGCCTGGGGGGAGCCTGGAGGGAGCCTGGAGAGAACCGAGTTGGAGCCTGAGGGCCCGAGCTGGGGTCGATTGCAACATTGTAGGGTCCTGAGCCCCAGGACAGACGCACAAGATGTGTATCTGCCGGGCTGCTACTGCTTCGCGCGAGTATAAAATCCTAGGGGCAGGACTGATGGGCATCAGCATACGGGGAGCCAGTATTTTGATCTGTTGGAGGTGAACCAGTCTGGGGCGTGTTCGTAAAGTCCAGACCCCTGCAGTTTCCCAGAATGAGAATCAAATGTTCCATCTCTCTACCTCTGCTTAAATTGTTTCCTCAGTCTGGAATTCTCTCTCCCAGTCTCATCCCAATTCACGTCAAATTCTGTTCCTCCTTCCGGCTCCAGCTCAAAATGATCTTTGTGGAACTATAAAAATCTATAAACAGCTGAATAAATTAAAAGGGCCTCCCCCTGAATGAACGTATGTGTATAGAGTGAATGAAGGTCTCAGGGGTTTGT